ACGACAGACCGTGACAACGCCCGCATCACTGCAGATGCAGTACCAATCCGCCTATCGATCTCACGCTCCAGTTTTCCTTCACTCATGAACAAGACCCCGGGATACTTAAACTCCTCCACCTGGGACAGGACCTCACCCCTGACCCGGAGAAGGTATTCTACCCTTTTCCGAATCAAGACCATGGTCTCAGATTTAGAGTAGCTGATTCTCATCCCAGCTGCTTCACACTCGGCTGCGAACCGCTCCAGCAAAAGTTGAAGATCACGTTCAACAGGACCTGAGACCTGATCCTCAGGCCACCAAAACAGATGCCCTCCACACCTTGGTTGTGCCTAGAAATCCTGTCCATAAAGGTTATGAACAGAATCTGTGACAAAGGCCAGCCTTGGCGGAGTCCAACTCTCAATGGGAACGAGCCCGACTTACTGCCGGCAATGCGGACCAAGCTCTGACACCGGTCATACAGGGACATAACAGCCCGTATCAGAGGACCTGGTACCCCATACTCCTGGAGTACCCCCCACAGGGCCCCCCGAGGGATGGGGTCAAATGCCTTCTCCAAATCCACAAAACACATGTAGACTGGTTGGGCAAATTCCCACGCACCCTCCAGCATCCCCCTAAGGGTATAGAGCTGATCCAGTGTTCCACAGCCAGAACGAAAACCACATTGCTCCTCCTGAATCTGAGGTTCAACAATCCGAGGGACCCTCCTCCAGAACCCTTGAACAGACCTTGCCGGGAAGGCTCAGGAGTGTGATCCTCCTTTAGTTGGAACACACCCTGCGGTCCCCATTTTTAAATACGGGGACCACCACCCCGGTCTGCCAGTCCAGTGGGACTGCCCCTGATGTACACGCAATCTTGCAGCCAACAGCCAACACAGCCCCACAACATCCAGAGCCTTAAGGAACTCCGGGCAGATCTCATCCACCCCTCGAGCCTTGCCACAGAGGAGCTTTTTAACCACCTCAGTGACCTCAGCACCAGAGATTTCAGAGCCCAACTCAAAGTCCCCAGACTCTGCTTCCTCACTGGAAGATGTGTCGGTGGGATTGAGGAGGTCTTCGAAGTATTCTGCCCACCGATTCACAATTTCCTGAGTAGATGTCAGCAGCACACCGTCCCCACAATAAATAGTGTTGGTAGCGCACTGCCCCCCCCCTACAGACAGAGAAAAGCCTTTAAATAGAATAGAATAGAATTCTTACAGGGGGGAAATTCACTCGTTATACAGCAGCACACACACTTACAAGTAAATACACATAGGTAATAAGCTATTGTTGTAACCTTCAACCACTAAAAATAATGAATAAAAAGGAAGCTTGGGTTTCAGAACTACAATAAGAGACACAGGCATACAATGTTCACCCGTTGTTGCACAAGTATTGAGTATTGCATTGGTGTTATTGTGTAACAAGATAATGCCAGTACAACGTAAACTGTGGAGCTATACACTCTTACTGCAGAAGGGATGAATGACCTATGGAAGCGTTCTGTTTTCTGGGATGTCTCAGTCTTCTGCTGAAGGAGCTGTCCTTGGTCTCCATGGTCTCCACAGTGGAATGCAGTGGGTGGGTGGGTTTTCCAAGATAGAGGTCATCTTCACCATCATCCTCGTTTCAAACATCTCCTCAACTGAATCTAGGTGGTAGCCCAGAACTGAGCTAGCCTTGTTATCTAGCTTGTTCAGTCTCTTCCTGTCTCAATTAGAGCTGCCTGCACCCCAACAGACTACAGCAGAGTGGATAACAGAGCCAACAGCAGAGTGTTAAAAGGATTTTAGCAGATTGGAATTAACTCCGAAAGACCTCTGTCTACTCGAGAGGTGGAGGCGGCTTTGACTCCTTCTTATACCGAGCATCTGTGTTGTTGGACCAGCTCAGTTTACTGTTGAGGTGAACACCCAGGTACTTAAAGGTATCCACCACCTCAATGTCTGCACCCTGGATGTTTACTGGTGAGTGAGGAGTATTTTTCTGGAAGTCGATCCCCATTTCCTTTGTGTTACTGATGTTCAAGAGAAGGTGGTTACACTCACACCTGTCCACAAAGTCCATGATGACTGACCTGTACTCTAGGGGTGTTTCTCAATGCCAAGGAACCTTGCCTTGATGTCTTGGCCCTGCCCGGTTGCCTAGGAGATACGTCATTGGGAGCTGCCAAGACGTGCTCAAATGTTCATGTTCTACCGAGGCATGTGATCTCCATTTGTTAGCCGTTTAGCTAGCTGAGCAAGGATACATGGGAGGTGTCTTGTAGCCTAGACTTGGTCAAAAATTACCCACAATACACTGCAGTATTTTCAAAAAGACAGCGGATCAGAAGCCGGCAGCTACTTTGGGGACAATTTCAAGTTTAAAAGTAATTCAGCTACTTTAAATAGTTTTTTTTAGATCCAAAGCAGTTATCTATGGTTGGTTAGTTGCTTAATAGTTGCAGCTTTGGTGGCTAGCGGGTTGTAACGCACTTATATTTTTAATTTAATAAACATATACACAATTTATAAAGTAAAAGGCTTGTTATATATTTATATTGAAACTAATAGATATAAGATATAAAGTTATCTCCCGAGTCACGTGACCACCGTGGAAGCCACGTGATGCAAGTCTGTTCCATTTAACCATTTTCTTTGACCAAGGAAGGACAGTGTCCTTGTAAGCAAGGCACCTGGCCTCGCAAGACATTGCCTCGCAAGGCAAGGCGCCTTGATATTGAGAAACACCCTATATCTTTCCCCTCTGACACACAGTCGACGTTGGCCGAGTCATCTGAGAAATTCTGAAGGTGACAGCTGCTGGTGTTTTAGATGAAGTCTAAGGTGTAGAAGGTGAAGAGAAAGGGTGAGAACACCATACCCTGTGGCGTTCCCATATTGCAGACAACCACCTCAGATGTACAGCTGTGCAGCCTCACGTACTGTGGCCTGTAAGTTAGTTGAAGGTCCATGAAGTCAGATGCTAATCTACTCCTGCACCCCTCATCTTCTGCTGCAGTAGAGACTGTTGGATGGTGTTGAAATCACTTGAGAAGGCAAATGACATGATTCTTACAGTGCTTTTTTGAATTTTAAGGTGAGTCAGCGCCCAGTGCTGCAGGTAGATGAAGACAAGCCCCCATGTTTGGTTTTTATGCAAACTACAGTGTATTTATCTCTGGGCTCACCACAGAGTGTAGGCAGATGAGGATGAGTCTCTTCATGGTCTTCATCAACTGGGAAGTCAAGGCGACTGGTCTGTAGTGCAGTGGGAAGTGATGTTTTGAGAACTGGAACCACACAGGAGGTCTTCCACAGGATGGAGGACCTGCTCCAACCAAAGGATCAGGTTGAACGTGCATGTGCGTGACCACTTCACTAAGGTGGTCAGCACAGTTGTTGAGCAGTCTGGGGCTGATTTTGTCAGTTCCTGCAGCTTTCCTTCTCTTAAGCCGCCTCAGTTCTCCTCTCACCTGGTGAGATGTAACTGAGAGAAGGTAGTGAGGGAGAGTGTGGTGCTAAGGAGGGTGTGTGGTGGGGGGAGAAGCTGTTGAATGGTATGAAGTTTGGGGGTAGGGGGAGATTGCTGTTGTTTGTTAATGTTGCAACAGTAGGAAGGTTGGAGTTGTTTGCTTTTTGATCAGATTAATGTATGCAGTTTGTACATTAGCATACACTAGGTCAATTGTCTTAATGTCTATGGCGTGGTACTTCACATGTTGGTTAAAGGTGGGGAGAATGGAGAAGAGCGAGGCAAGATTGAAATCCCCACTGATGAGCAGAAGCACATGTGGATGGGCTGTTTGCAGCTTCTCCCCAGAAGTTTGAAGCAGCTTGCATTGACCGAGGGAGGGATGTACACATTAAACACTATAATGTGTGAAAACTCTCTAGAGGAGTAATAAAGGCTGGAGACCAACAGCCAGTAACTCAATGTTTTTTGTGCAGAGTTATTGTTTGAAGGTGACATGCCCCAAGTGAACTTTCTCACATTTATGATTAAAACACAGCCAGACCCCACCTTTGCGCTTACCTTTCTGCTCCACGTTCCTGTTGTCCAACGTAAAAATAAATCCTTCCATGGAAACCTCAGAGTCTGCTATGAGCTAATTTATCAGTCCCACTGTTGCCTGGTCAATGAGCTCATCAACTATTTC